CTCCTCGTGACGTTGCCAAGCAGCTCAAGGACCAGGGTCTCGTGATGGCCGGTCACCGTGAGCAGAGCATGTACAAGGAGCTCAAGCGTGTCATCCCTACCGCTGCTGCTTTCGGTGGTGCCTGTATCGGTGCACTCTCCGTTGCCTCCGACCTTCTCGGTGCTCTTGGCAGCGGTACCGGTATCCTTCTTGCTGTGACGTAAGTCTACCACATGTTTGAATATTCTCGAAACATGGCTAACCCAACTTTAGCATCATCTACGGATACTTTGAGATTGCCGCCCGTGAGGGCGACATTGGCGCCGGCCTCCGTGGCCTCGTCCCCGGTAACTAAGCAGGGAGGCTTAGGGACACTTTCTGATGAAGTATGAGAAGAGGGATTGTGGGTTTTTATGTTTTTATATCTTCTTTTTATTTTCACCAGGTAGTGTGCGGCTGTGCCTTTGCAATCTGGATGGTTTGAATTCTTGATGAATGTATGGCTAGTCACCTATCTTTTTGTCTTGCTCCCTACGGGAAAAGTTGAAAAGTCACAGCTGTATATAGCACTACCTGGTCTGTAACCATATTCGATCAAAGACCTGAAAATTGCATTGGAAGGGCATTGAGCATCTGAGGTGACTCGGGTGGGAACCGCTTGATTAGTTTGTTTTGCTTGTAGCATGAGAAGCTCGCTTTACATCGCAGCACCCAGCTTGACTTCATGGGCCATGTTGCACTACCCGGCTAAGATGTTGTAGTATAGAAAAAGCGAACAGATGACCGTGACTCATATTAAGGCTCGCATTCAAAGAATAAATAATCCAAGCATTCTAACTGCGCTTTTTTGAGACAAACATCTGGCGAACCCACATAGACTCGTTTCAACCATATCAGACGTTGCAATGCTTAAGTCCGATAATCACCGTTGATGGTGACATACTCGTGACTGAAGTCGCAGAACCAGTAGACGGCCTCCTCGCCGCCGGCCCCCTGGGGACCGAGCTCGCCGCCGCCGAGATCGACGACGATCTCGAGGTCCTCCTCCTGGAGGATGACGGCGGCGCGGGCCTCGTCGACCTGCTCGGGCTCACCGTTGACGAGCAGCTTCAGCTCGGGGCTGCCGTCGACGGGCCGGAAGCTGACGCTGGTGCGCTCGGGGACGACGACGCCGTCCCGAACGCCCTGGGTGTAGCCCACCGCGCAGAGGATGCGGCCCCAGTTGGCGTCGCGGCCGTACAGGGCGGTCTTGACGAGCGGCGAGCGCGCGATCGTGCTGGCGATGAGCTTGGCCGAGTCGTAGTCCGGCGAGTTCTGCACGCGCACCGTCACGAACTTCGTGGCGCCCTCGCCGTCGCGCACCACCAGCTGCGACAGCGACTGCGTGAATTCCGTCAGCACCGTCTGCATCGCGGTGTAGTCGTCCGAGTTCTGGCTGTTGGTCACGGGCGCGCCGCCGGCGGCACCGTTGGCGAGGATCGCGATCGTGTCGTTCGTGCTCGTGTCGCCGTCTACCGAGATAGCGTTGAAGGACCGCGAGACGGCGTGTTTGAGGAGCGCCGAGAGTGCGTCCGCTGTGATGGGCGCGTCTGTGCACAGGACTCCGAGTAAGGTGGCCATGTTCGGGTGGATCATCCCCGCCCCCTTGGTCATGCCGGCCAGGCTGTAGCTGCGGCCGGGCGAGCTGGGCAGCGTGAAGGTTGTGGACAGGAGCTTCGGGAAGGTGTCGGTCGTGCAGATCGCGCGGGCCGTGCTGAGCCAGCTGTCATGCGTCGAGGAGAGAGTCGAGTGCGCGGTGGGGATCTTGGAGAGAATCTTGGAGATCGGGAGGCTGTTTGGTTGAGGAAGAAGGTTAGGCATGGTTTCAGGACGGAAAAATGGTGTTGTGGTTCCTGGGGCAGGGGAGTACGCACCGTTGTCCTATCACTCCGGTGCTCATCACCAGTGTGCTGGGTTCCTCCCCGCTGAGGCCGTGGCATTCATCCACCTTGGCTCCCATGTTGGTCGCATCCTCCAGTCCGCCCTTGCCGGTCACGGCGTTGGCGCACCCGGAGTTGATCACCACCGACCGGATGCCCTGACCTTGCCGGGTCTGCAAGATGTTGCGGCTGACCTGCACGGGGGCGGCCTGGAACTTGTTGGTGGTGAAGACCGCGGCCGCGGTACAGGGGGTCTCGGAGGAGATGAGGGCCAGGTCGGGGAACTTGGTGTTGGAGGCCTTGACGCCGACGTGGGTCCCCGAGACGGAGAAGCCCTTGGGGTAGGACCCGGACGAAGGGATGTACTTCTGCTTGGAGGCGGGGATGGCCATGTCGAGGGGTGCGGAGTAATGGCGCACCTGGCCCTTCACCATGCGGGTGAAGGTAGCCATGGTGGTGGTCGCCGACTGCGCGGAAATAGCCATTGGGGGCGGCTTCCTGGGCTGGAGAAAGTGAGGATTTAGTTAGGGTTCCAGCACTAGGTGTATAGGTGTAGAAGACACGCAATTGATATAGTCGTGGAAAATGATTTCGTCCTCATGACCCCCCGGGTACGTGGTCTGGGAGATTGGGTAGATATACACGGAGGCACTTGCAGTAGACAGCCCCGAAAATGACTCAGGGCGAATGGTAAACAAAATGACTCACTGGCTTATCAGAAGCTTCCAGCTAGCTCCTGCGTAGGCGAGGTGAACGCGCGAGACCACTGCCAGTCAACCACGACGAGAGTTGTCAATTGGGACGACGGACCGAAGCTCTCTCTTCGCTGCGTGAATTATATCGGCGAGTGAAACTGCCAGGGCCGGTCCCGCAGTGATGCGATGCACGGCGATGAGATGCCGCTTCCGATATCGCGGAGTCGGAAAAACCCTCGGTCCTATCGGTGGTGCTTCGAAGACGCGCCCAAGAAGGGCGAAAGCCACGAGGGTTGAACCGTACGGGAAGGCATTCCTCATTTCCTTGTGAAGAGAGAAGAGAAGCTGTGCTGCTTGGAGCTTACTTGCTGGAACCCCCTTGCGTCATATTGTTTCTCTTTCTTTTTCTTTTTTCTGTTCCTCATTAAACCTGGGGGTTGTTCCGGCTTGTTGTCTGGATGGTATTTCTTCACCGACCCGATTCCGCTCACCATTCTCAACCAAGTTAACTAAAATGAAACGCAAGCAACCAGATACGGACGAAGCGCGTGCTGTCTCGACGCCCAAGCGGCCGAGGACTACCGATGCACCGACCAATGGCGCCGTGAACGGGCATGTGGCCAGGGAAAAAACCCCTGAAGGCACCCCAGCGAAGAAAATAAAGTCGACTCCCAAGAAGCCGACCGCGGACACTCCAGCTACCCTGAAAGCCTCGGGATTGAAGACTCCCACACACAAGAACAAGGCGAAGGCTCTATTCTCGACGCCTACGAAACAGACCGCTGCGCCCGACACCCCGACCAAAGCTCGAAATGCCGACCGGTCCGCAAAGAAGAAGAGCGCTCGCCTGCTGCTGGAACAAGACGAAGATGAAATTTGGGATGGCGCCGATCGCCTCGCGGAGGAAATCCTGCAGGACGATGACGACACGGCCCTTCAGGAACCAACGCCAGCAAACTCAGCAACCAATGAAGATGGAGTAGTACCCTCCGTCGAGGCAGGATCCGAAGAGCCAGCAGCCGGGGATGCAGCAGCACCCACCCCCAAACGTCGAGCCGGACGACCAAAAGGCGCAAAGAACAAACGCTCTCCCACGCCCGAGGGCGAGCTCCCAGCGCACGAGCGCTACTTCTTCCAAAACCGGGCGGGACCGCCTCGGACGTCGAATAGCAATCTCAGCAAGGTGAACCTCCTGACGCACGAGGAGTATTTCGAGAAGATGGCGCAGTGGGTGGATCCGTTCCAGGAGGAAAAGGCCCTATTGCTGGACCTGCATTGCCGGTCCTTCCCCCAATGGGACTTCGAGTTCGACCAGGGGTTCAACATCTGCCTGTACGGCTACGGATCGAAGCGTCGATTGCTACAGGAATTTGCCGACTGGCAATACCGCCGCCACTCCCACGACAATGAAGACGACGACGACGACGGCACCACCTCCACCGCCGCCTCACTACCCTCCGTCGTTATTGTCAACGGCCACACGCCAGGCGTCTCGATCCGGTCCATCTTTGCGACGATTGTCACAGCGGTGCTGGGCGCAGACATCCCGTCGAAGATGGGCTCGCAGCCGCAAGAGGTCCTGGAACTGCTGCAGTCCAGCCTGAACGCCCGCGACTCGGATAGTCCTCCAATCACGGTGATCATCAACTCCATCGACGCCCCCTCCCTCCGCCGCGCCACGAACCAAGCCCTCCTCGCCCGCCTGGCCGCCACCCCGCAGATCAACCTCCTCGCGACGGCGGACACGCCCAACGTGCTCCTTATGTGGGACCTGAACCTCCGCGACCAGTTCAACTTCGTGTTCCACGACTGCACGACCTTCGCCCCCTTCGACGCGGAATTCGATGTTGTCGAGGAAGTCAGCGCCCTGCTCGGTCGCAAGGGCCAGCGCGTCGGCGGCAAGGAGGGCGTAGAATTCGTCCTGAAGAGTCTGCCCGAGAACGCGCGCAACCTGTACCAGCTGCTGCTGACGGAGCTGCTCTCCGCGTCGGACGAGGGCCATCTGTCGGACGACGAGGGGGAGGACGGTGGTGGTGGTGGTGGTGGTGCCCGAGGGGAGGATGCCGCCGGGATCGAGTTCCGCGCCCTCTACCAGAAGGCGGCCGAGGAGTTCATCGCGAGTTCCGAGATGATGTTCCGGACGTTGCTGAAGGAGTTCCACGATCACCAGATGATCACGTCGCGGATGGATGCGAGCGGGATGGAGATCCTGGGCGTGCCGTTGGCCCGGGAGGAGATGGAGGGCGTTTTGGAGGATTTGGTTTTGGCTTGAGCCAGCCCTGGTTTGCTGCAGCTACTGCCGCTGCATAATATGGAGCAGATGCGAATGTTTTCCTTGGAGCTCGACTCGCAACAATGATACCCTGTATTAGACAGATCAAAGAAAAATCTTGAATTTATATAATCGTGATAGTATTGGATTGGATGAAATATATTTGGTCCACCATCTATTCTACATCAAAACGTTCATCTCACCCCTAATACACCCACCACCACTAATAAGCCAAGCTAAAACTGCGCAAAAGCAGCCAACCCCATCGTGACCCCAAAGCTCAACTTAAAGGGGATATGCTTCGACACGGCGCCCTGCAAATCCACCCGCTTCACGTATTTCTGGAGAGTATTGACGGGCAGGATATTGTACCCCTTGGCCGCGGCCCACTACATGCCATCAAATCAATCAGTTAGGCAACTCAACTCAACCCGCTACCCTACCAGGACCTCCCCTGATAGGTGTGGGGAACGTACCTCAACAGCCACAATCCCCATCCCGATCAACACGACCAGCACGCGCGAGAACGCCCGCAAGCCCACGCCCACCACCAGCCCCAGCACGCTGCCCAGGCTCACCTGCCGCATGTTCGAGGCCGTGAGGATCGGGCCCGTGCGGCCTTGTTTGAGAATCGCGGGGTCCGTGGCAGGGACGGTCCAGTTGGTTTCGGGTGTGCCGGCGGGGGCGGAGTATTGGCATTGGAGGGGCGCGGCGCGGAAGGGCGAGAGCGGGTGCAGAGTGAAGGTGAGGCCGAGGCCGAGGGTGGTGCCTAACAGGGTGGAGGTTGTGCGCGAGAGGAGGAATGCCATTTTCTCTGTTTGTCCAGGTCGGTGGGTGTTGTTGCGGTTGGGGTTGGTTGGTGGGTTCGGGGTGCGGTGTTGTGCCACAGGATTGAGAGTTGAGGTCCTGGGGATTGATTTGCTGGTTGGTTTGAGAGGGCTTGAGAGAAATTGGAATTGGAGTTGCTGGGAGAGGTTGAGGAGAGATGCTTGCAGAAGGGGGAGGTGCTGGTGGTGTTGGAGTTGGAGATGCGGAGGAGGGAGGGAAGGAGCGGGCTGACGTCACTGGGGTCGGTCCGGGGGTGGTTGTGTACTGTACTGGAGAGGATGATTAGAATGGGGGATATTACGGATGGGCGCTTGTATATAGTCTCGAAGTTCTTGAGGTCCGTCTCATCTAACAGTGTGTAATTGAATTGGTTCAATGCATTGAGTTAGTGTCTTCATCTACTCGGTATAATCATAGTTCAACCACCGGTATTCCAGATCTTCAGATTGCCGCCTGAGGTAGCAACTGTATTTGTATTACCGTTGCTGATCAGACCGAACAGAAGGGATACCTTACATGAGCGACAGGTGACAATACCGAAACGCGGCTACCAATGCCCGCGGAAAGCTAACAGAGGGGCGATGCGCCATTCCGAGTTTAGTGGCCAGTTAGAAAATGTCAAGGGAAGGCTCAGAGGGACGGCGATGCATTGATTGGCCCATATTTCCGCCCTGCCACTGACGAGGGGCAGAAAGACCGTGGAAAGTGGGCTGAACAACTCCAGTCGCCGGCGGGGAAGAACAACGAGGGGTAAACTCGGAACACTCTCAGTCATTGGTGTAGGAGACACGGTTTTCCCAAGGATGAGGTACTGAACCTTCGTCGGGGAGGGAGTGGGTGTTCTCGGCGGCGACGCTGAGATAATCAGTTCATCCTCGTTGACTCACTCGCAAGTCTGGTCAGTCTCTCCAGGTAACTCTTTTCCTTCCGTTCATATTTAACCTTGGTCCCTCGGTGGCATTCTTTTTTCTTTCCCTTCCTTCTGCCCATCTTCTTCAATCTTATCCTCCTTCTCGCAGCAATTCTGCCAATCTCACCCTCAATTCCTCTCACAATGGCTGCTCAACAGAACGGTGCTACCGACAGCTTCACTGTCAAGGCCGGTTTGGCTCAGATGTTGAAGGGTGGCGTGATTATGGACGTCGTCAATGCGGAGCAGGTATGCTTCACTCCTAGGAATTCAACTCATCCTGTCAATGCTAACGAGAGTTGCACAGGCTCGCATTGCCGAAGAGGCTGGCGCCGCCGCCGTCATGGCCCTCGAGCGTGTTCCCGCCGACATTAGAGCCCAGGGTGGTGTGGCACGTATGTCCGACCCGGGCATGATCAAGGAGATCATGGAGGCTGTCACCATTCCTGTGATGGCCAAGGCCCGCATTGGCCACTTCGTTGAGTGCCAGGTAAGAACATTTGTTAATGTCTCTTGGACGTCGCCGCTAACATGTCATGCTGTTAGATCCTCGAAGCCATTGGCGTCGACTACATTGACGAATCCGAGGTCCTCACCCCCGCCGACGATGTCTACCACGTTACCAAGCACGGCTTCAAGGTCCCCTTTGTCTGCGGTTGCCGTAACCTGGGCGAGGCTCTCCGCCGCATTGCCGAGGGCGCCGCTATGATCCGTACAAAGGGCGAGGCTGGTACCGGGGATGTTGTGGAGGCTGTCAAGCACATGCGCACTGTCAATGCCGACATTGCTCGTGCTCGCGCCATCCTGCAGTCCTCTGCCGACCCCGAGCCCGAGCTCCGTGCCTACGCCCGCCAGCTGGAGGTCCCGTACGAGCTTCTGCGCGAGACCGCTGAGAAGGGCCGTCTCCCCGTGGTCAACTTCGCCGCTGGTGGTGTTGCCACTCCCGCCGACGCGGCGCTCATGATGCAGCTGGGCTGCGACGGTGTCTTCGTCGGATCTGGTATCTTCAAGTCTGGTGATGCCAAGAAGCGCGCCAAGGCCATTGTCCAGGCTGTGACTCACTTCAAGGACCCCAAGGTCCTGGCTGAGGTGAGCGAGGGTCTGGGCGAGGCCATGGTCGGTATCAACGTGGCGCATCTGCCTGAGGCCGACAAGCTGGCCAAGCGCGGTTGGTAAGCGGTGTCGCATGTACTGTACATGTCCTGTTTTCTTTTTTTTCTACCATCGCGCGGGCGTTTTGAGAGATAAAAAGTTGGGACAGCTGGTCGGCTTTCAGCATTAGATATTTTTTCCCCTACCCATTCTCACTGTACATTCAAATCCATACGAGCAATGATGAGCATCCTGTTCGAAGACTGTCCACGTAGGGACCCATAGAAGCTTTCCCCGGTGAGGAAGCCGGAATGGAAGAGTGGAGCCGTGTCTATCCCCTAGCCCCAATTCTTGGTGAATGGGTCCTCCATCGTTAGCCCATTGTCGCAACAGCAGCAATTTCCGCGGAACTTTCTCAGCAGCATCAACTTTTTTCGCCGTTTTGCATATCCGACATTCCGAGCTACCTTGGGTTGTCTGAGGCAGGTGATCACCGATCTCGTACTCAGATCCTTTCAATTGGGGGTAAATCGAAGAACTCCCCAAGACTAGGCAACCGGATCTTATCGGCGACAGATGCGCGAGTGTGCTTCTCGAATCTTGTTGCAAGGGGATGATCCTTGATCACCCGAACCTTAACAGGTTATTTTTCGCCATCGGAGGATGGAGGGGTACTCCCCGTGACAAACCACGTGACCGTATGTCATGTACAGTGTACGGTATGTGACGGAAAAACGAATACAGTCGATCCCTTTTTTTCTGCGGACTTGTGATTCGTGGGTGCGGGCAGTAGTTCCCGGGTTTTAATTAGTGCAAGGGCAAGGTCCGGTCCGCAGGGCTATCGATGCGGGAGTTACTGCCTTAGTCGGGTTTACTTTGGTCTTCTGGAAGAACTGGTTGCTCCCTTAGGTTCACTGTGCTACATTAGCCAAGCTAGTTGTTCTGTCGTCTGATTGCAAGAACTCTGATCCAGGTCTGATATTCATCCTCAGACACATCTCCACCAAGAACATCCTCTCCAGTGGAAGAAAAACTCGAACAATTCCCCCAAATGCCAGAAATCGACCCCATGATCCCTTCGCAATTCGCGTCGGAACCACAAAACTCAGCACAAGAACATCCCACCGAAGAACAGCAGCAGCAGCAGCAGCAGCAGCAGCAGCAGCAGCAGCAACCAGCTAAGAGCGCCACCATCTTCCACCACGACGCCCTCCTCCTCAAACACCACCAGCACCAACTCACTAACAATCACAATCACAATGCCAATGATCATGCCTACCACCATCATGACGCTCTACCTACCTCCACCACCAACGATCCCACTACATCTACATCTACAGCTCCTACAGCTACAGCTCCTCCTGGAGAAGGATACATCCCCCGCCTGAGGCAACTAATCCTCACCCACCCAATCCTCGCCACCTTCCTGGCCGCGCAGATCCTCTGCTCCGGCATCCCGGTGTGTCTATTCCTGGGCGGCGTGCTAGTGTCGGCTTTCGTGGCGGGGGCGGTATTCGCGGGTTTTGCGATGTTGGTAATGGGGCCGGTGTTGGTGGGGACGGGGTGTCTGGGTCTGGGGCTCTGGGGGTTCGGGTGGGGGGTTTTTGTGCTGGGAAGGGTGCTGGGGAGGGTTTTGAGGGGGGAGGCTGTAGAGGGGTTTGGGGGTGGGTTGGGGGGATGGGAGGGGGGGCGCTGAGGAGGAACGGGGGGGGCGGGGAGGGGAGGGTTAAGTTTGAGGTTGAGGTTGAGGGTTGATTGATGTGGACGTTTGATCGGGAGGGGAGGTTGGGGGTATGGAGTAAGATTGTTTGCGATGCGATGAGAGAATTGCCTAGTACTGCGTTCTACTGTGGGATGCTTGTGTCTTCAACAGATATGAGGTTGCGCTGCTTAATGCAAGGTGTACTCTGGGTTTCTGCTCTATGTGTGTGTGGTGTGTGTGTTGGGGTATAATGCTGATGATGACCGGTCAACAAGGCAGAGACTCACATGTACCACCGGTCAGCTACGGGGCAACCATGCGTCCGGCCTACTCTACCTCTGCTTCTCCTGCACTTCCGCCCACTTCACCCAGCGCCGGATGCAGTCATCCACCCGCTTCAGCGAGCTCTTCTCCGCCGTCACCTCGAACCATTCCTTATGCTCCCGCCCGCACTCCGGACACTTGCCCATGTCGCGGATACGCACATCCCCCAGCTCCAGGTGGATCAGCCGCTCGACGCGGTGGACGAAGGGGACCTTCCGGCCCGGCTCGAGGGCGGCGTTGTCGTGCACATTGCCCCCCATCCGCGCCGGCGACGGCTGCGGCGTCGACGGCGTGTAGGGGTAGTACCGGATTAGGGTGACGTGGTGGCCGCACTGGCGCGACCATTCGTTCAACCGGCGCTGCACGTTGTTGGCCCGCCCGATCTTCAGCCGGATCGTGCCGGGGCTGGTCGCGCTGGGCGCCGAGGTTAATGCCCGGAGGTCCCGCGCCGTGCGGATCGCGTCGCTGACGCCGCGGTCGCGCGCGCCGCCCGGCGTCGACTTGTGGTGTGGCAGCAGCGAGCTGGCCACCTCGGCCGGCGGCGGACCGCGCGCTCCTCCCTCCCCTCCCGTGGTCTCCTCCGGCGTCAACCAGAACATGTAGATGTAGCCCGGTTCGTCGCGTTCGGAGATCGGCTTGTCCAGCTCGGATGCCAGCGTGGAGCTCGCCTCCGCGCTGAGATCGGCGGGGATCCAGGATTCCGGGATCCCGGACGAGGTGGAAGAGTAGTGGTGGGAGGTCTGCGCGGATGGCCGCGTGGGGATCTGGCTGTTGGGCGAGAGCAGGTTGGCCTGCGGGACGGGGCCCGGGGCGGCGGCTGATTGGGACGGAGGCCGCGCGGAGACGGGCCTGGGCGGCCGGATCTCCTCCTCCTCGATCACCTCGAAGCAGCAGCAGATGGTGCGTTTCTTCGGTCTCTTTTGTGGTTTGTTGGGGCGCGACGGGCGCCATTTCTCCGAGGCCGCGTCGTTGAGGTTGAGGATCCCGATGCGGTCCAGCAGCGTGTCGATGCTGGTCCGCGGCTTGCTGGGGTTCGCGAGCGGCGTGCTGGTCCCCGGCGACTCGGTGGCAGCTTGGTCCTTATGCTGCCAGCAGTATCGGTCGGTTGGATCGGCGAGCGCTCGCCGGCATGGCTTTCCGCTGTTGGTCAGCCCTTGACATGTTGTCTCCGGGTCGCAGGAATCCGTGCGGGCGATGAGTGCTTCGGGGGTGTTGGCGATGACCGGCATGGTGAGATGTGGTCAGGATGCAGGCAGGTTCCGGGCGACGCGCGGAAGAGACATGGCGACTTCTTATTATGTTGGCCATGCTGCTTGCTGCCGCTGCCCCAGGCGCGAGATCCACCATCGCGTCTAAGACGAAACACGAGGGCATTGAGAGCACTGACCAAGCCCACAAAAAAGGGGGGGATTGTCGGCAGTCTCGTAGGGCACGACATCGCGTCATTGGATGAGGATCGCCCTGTCCACCCGATTCAGATGATGATTTGCATGGCTGGCACTGGAAAATCTTGAGACGCGATGCATTGTGCAGTACAGGCGGGGGGGGTTGAGGTGGAGTGATTGGCGATTTTGCAGCACAGCAAATCACCAGTTGGTGGGCAAGTGCATCCAACTCACAGTACTCTGTATACAGCCACAGTTGGCCATCACGGCAGGGTCCTAAAAATAGGACCTTTTCTTTCCGCCCTACCCACTACTCGGCAGAGTCCACCGCAGCTATTTGTTTGTTTACTATAGGCATACTCCCATTTTCAGGTGCAGGGGATTTTTGGACGCACCGCCTCAGTGGCGGAGGAATCAGTAGCCCGCCAAAAGCGGATCGCCCCGCTTGAAGGCAAATGTAAGAGTCCGCAAAGCTGCCACTATGCCTGAGGCAGACAATTCGAGCAGTGGACATGAAAAGTACAGGGGGCCATGCGCACTTCCGGAATGGCTGCTGATTTTATATACCTACAACTTATCTGTAAAATCATCATTATCCACCGCAGAAACACTTCAAAATGGTCAATATTTTGAAGATATAGGCCGTATAGTTATCTAAATTGTATATAAACGTGCTTTGTAAGCCTTCATTTACTTTTCTGCCTACAGAGGTGCTGCAAAAGGCCTCGTTCGCTTGCTTATACGCGTGTTGCGAAAGGCCTTCCTCGCTTGCTTATATCGTGTATCCATCGTAAAGGATCTTGGTGTTTAGGCAAGGGACGCGTTGTGTTTGTGTGGGAGTTTTGGTGGTAAATACGGCCGTTCGGGAAGTGCGTGTCCCCCTCTACATTCCCTGCATGATTTACATGTTGCAGTGGTAGTGTTACATCACCCGACCGTTTACAACTTGCCTAGCATGAACCCTGTTCATGGACCTCGGAGTCCAATAGTCATTGTTTGACACTGTCAGCTACCCTATGGTCCCTATCCGACGTAATTGAATGAGTCACCCCGGCACTTGACCCAGAACGAGCGTACCAATTGACTGGTCTGTGCTCTGGCGCCCCTTGCGGCCAACAAAGACGCAAGGAAGCGTTGTCGTTCTTCTGGTGTGACGGTTGGTCGCTGGTGTTGATCAACGGCCTCATCCAGTTCGGCCAACGCCGCGGTAAGATGCGGCCGAGCTGCACCCTGTTGCTTGAAAATGACTTTGCGAAGCACCTCGCACAGGTGCTCAAGATCCGACCGGGCACATCTTCCGGCGAATTGCGTCATCAAGATCCGACAGAGAGCAGGCAGACATTCACGGATAGCATTTTGAATAGGCGGGGCATCACCGGGGAGGTTCAACACGCTCACCCAGAATTGCGAGGCGGAGCGGAGCGGAAGAGGTTCGGGGCCTTGCAATGAGATAAGTGTGAAGTTCAGGATAGCGTTCAGAACAGTTGGTCGCGGCTGAGTAGCCGTCTGGCCGGGTTCCTGCGGTGTGGAGGTGAGCGCGAAGAGGAAAGGGTGGTATTTCGGAAGCAAGCGCGTCAGAAAATCGATCCCGCTGTTGGCGACTTCGGGATCGTAGCACTCTGGTTTCTCATGCATCCAGCAGAATGTCTCGTAAACGTGCACAATCAACGCAACTGTCTCATCACGAATACGCTGTGGATGGGAGCTGTGAGATGCAAGAAAGGCTGAGGCAGTGCCCATGACCATATCGGTACCCGCGCTGCCCAGAGGGATGCTCTTCACAAAGTTTACTGTCATCATCGGTGGGAACACATAGGGGCCCGTCCTCTCGGTGTAGCCGGCTTTGAGTATGTCGCAGGTAGCCTCGATAATCGCCACATCCACAGGGAAATCAGTCATGAGGAGCTGCATGGACTGCATGATGAGGTTCTGTACAACAGCCCCATCGCCCAGATTCCAGAAAGTTGGCGGGTAAGCATCCGCTTCCTTATCTTCGTGAGAGTCTAAGTTGATCTCACCATCGGTTCGGAGACCCTTGCCAACACTGGCAACGCATCGTAGCACGAGCTGGGCACGGCTCTGTGCTTGCTCAATGAGCCCATTACCGGCTTCTTCGCGAGCTGCGGTTGCCTGCTCATGGAAGACCCGAAGAATTTGCTCGAGGTATTGGGCCTTCGCGCCGTCCTCGGGTACGGTCTGTATGATCGCAGCAATGCCCTCCAGAACTTTCTCCATGGTGAAAGCCGTGGCTGTGGGCTTGAAACGAAATTGCTCAAATTGCCCAATGAAAGCAGGAAGCTCCAGCGTAAGAGCATTGCGACATGACTTGCAGAGATATGCAATCGACTTGGACGCTGCTGATGCGCAAGGACCGATCTCAAGCGACGCGAAGAGAAATGTTAGCACCCGGGGAAGCAACGCGTGTGTCCGTTCAAAGTATGACTGATATTTCCCGAGCATATCCACCAATGTTTGACGGGGTTTGTCGGGGATGACCACTTCGTTTCCCTCGCATAGGTTTGCGAATTCATCACAGAAGAATATTGAATTGAGGCATTCATCAGCGTGCTGGTTCTCGTCGACGGCCTCGGAGAGCTGAGCAACGCAGAAGATGGAGGCCTCGAACGTTCGCCAATCCTGTTGCTGAAGTGACGATCTCGCTCGCTCCTGAAAGACCTGAACCAATTCTACACCTAGCATTGGATAGATCGCTAGAAGAAAATCACAGACGTCACGCCGAAAAGCCCCGAACTCACCACGTTCATCGTCGCTCCAGTCTTGCAACTCTGCTGGACTGGGGTACTTCAGCTTCTCGAAACAATCCAGTGCTGCACGAGCCAGGTTGTGCTTCGCAGGCCCAAGCCCCGTTTGATCTTCTGAATCCACATATATCTCTTGAAGATCATCGGCAACCTCAGTCCACCACTCGAGAACCAAAGGAGAAGCCGAATCATCCACTGATGCATAACCAGGAGCTTTGAACAATGTGTGAAGTAGAGCGAGTACTTTCTCATGTTGCGGGTCCAATGCTTTCGTCAGAAGATCCCGTTGCTGTAGTGTTGCATATGCCAGCAGAAGCTCCAAGAATGTCATATTCTCATCCTCGAAATCGCCCTCCATCAGTGAAGCAATATGCGCAGTACCATAGTCACAAACAATATAGTCCAAGATGGCGCTGATATGACCTGGGGTGAAGATTGTGTCCCGCCAATCTATCAACTCGACCACGACTTGGGTCGCAGTTTTCGACAAAACTGGAATCCTCATGCATTGAATCACGTAGGTCGTAGTAGGAGCGAGTTGCGATACAGGTATCGTGTCGCGAAGCTGAAATGCGCTTCGAACGGACATCCATGTCTATTATCCCAGATGTTAGATGAGACAAAAATACAGAAGACGAGTGAGCTCACCTGGTAGGAGTTAATGGCCTCATCCCCCAAACTATCATCAGACAAATGTGCCCCAGACGCAACTTGCTGCAGTATGTGACCAAGAACAACATCGACGAGTACGAAGGCATCCTTGATATTCTCGGAAATGGGGTGATCATCTCGATTGCGACGGGCTTCAGAGCTCCATTTGTGAATCTCCTCTCCAAGAGTATTAGAGAAATAGAGCAAGGAAGTTACCTGGCCTTCAGACAACGCGGGAAGCACGGTATTTTTCAGGTCGATATCCTTGCAGTGTTCCTCCGAGACATACTTGCCATCCGCTAAGGAAGCCGCTAGATTGCAGAGAGCCCGTGTCCAGGGAGCGTTGGGTTTCAGGAAGATGGTAGCTAAGCTGGAAGCTAGTTTTCGTACAACCAGAGAACGCTCGCCTCCATTGACCAACATAACATAATGATCAATCAGCCGTCCTAGTAGCTCCTGGGCCTCTTCTGTGCTCAGGTGTTGCCTACGGACAGAGTCAGTAGGTCTCGCACAATGAAGTCATTAGGACGCGCACCAATCCTGATTTATTTTTACGGTAAAAGTCAGAGCTCCAAAGAACCTCAGGTCAGTGTTGTCCTCCGCGAGAAGGTGGTTTGCGATCAGCCATGCTTGAGGGCCCTTTTGAAGACTCTGCAGGTGCTCTTGGATCGCCTTAATCTTGGCGGGGTTGCCAGTATTTGCCGGATCATAGAGCTGCGACACTAGCTAGGACCAGGAATGACTTTTAGCCCTCGATCCCTCAATTGGCTCGGAGGAACAACTCGACTTACTGCCTTGGCCTCATTGATGAGCAGGTGCACATCCGAGGCCTGACCTGGAATGTGCCCAGACATGGCCGCAACACTGATGGCCTCCTTGCGAGAGAGAAGAAGAATATAGATAGTAGATGATGATCGATATCTGTATTTAAGGGGTGTCACGTGCTGATAACACTACCGCCGAAAAGTTGGGCGGTGAGAGGTGGGATGGAGGGGAAGGCTACTACCGTAATGGTTCTAGTAAGTAATCCGCACCGATGAAGAATGGTTAGCTTGTGATGACGACCAGGGCATTCAATATTCCAGTTGTTGTCGGGGAGAGGGATGATATTGAGAGAAGCATATGACCAGCTGGGCTAACACCTGCAGGACGTTGTTTGACTCCCAACCAACGGCGCATGGTCGTTTCAGCAACGCTGGGTTGAAGAATGCGGTTTATCACCAAATTCCAACCCCATTTGACCTCGATTTTGGAATCAATGGTTGAGTTTGCGACAATGTAAGCGTTAGTCATTGCAGTGCTTTGGAGGAGCACAGTACAAGTTGTATGGGTCAGAAATCAAGATTGCAAAAACAAAGTTACGGTCTGGTAATTACAATACCGATCTCTCGTGGCAGTGGCAGTTACCCACTTCCACAGTCGGCAAAGGAAGGCCGGCAAAGGGTCCCACTTTAATCTGCCATCGGAGCTCCTACGGAGACTGAACTTCCCTTACGTACTCACCACCACCAGTTACTCACCTTATCGAATAGTAACTGAGTCGACAGCTAGTATCCTCCACTCTCGCTCACCCTTGTGCACACGACCGTTGTATCTTTCCCTTTCCTTCTCTCCCCCCACCTTTTCTCGCTACCTTCAATCAAGGGCCTTGCGTGCTTAGTCTGTGCAACCCCGGCTCATTTGAATCCCACCTTTCCCCCCGGACACTTGCAGCTGTCCTTTGCAAAAACTCGCCAGTAGATGCTTTTTTCGCACCCTCCAATCCGCCTTTCTTGGATATCAGCTTTCCGACCGGCTCGCAAGTTATCCCTTCCCCGTCTAAGGCCCTTTTCCAGCTCCGCCCCGCGCTTCATCATCGAGATGGAGACCGTGAACACCTCCGAGCGCCTGGCCAAGCTGAGGCAGTTGATGCAAGAGCACAAGGTGGATGTTTATAGTATGAACCCAATGAACTCTCAGTTTCCGTTGATGTTAAGATTCTCACCCATTGCGAAGTCGTTCCTTCAGAAGATAGTCACCAGTCGGAATACATTGCGCCATGCGACGGCCGTCGAGGTTAGAACACCAACCTTTTGCCCTTTCCGCGACTCTTGTCTACGGCGCTGGATCGATTATCATATAACTCACATTCTACTCGATAGAGTTCATCTCAGGTTTCTCCGGCTCAGCTGGAACGGCCATAATCTCCTTGTCCAAGGCAGCATTGTCCACAGACGGCCGTTACTTCAACCAGGCTGCCAAGCAGCTTGACAACAACTGGGTGCTGCTCAAGCGGGGCGTTGAGGGTGTTCCAACCTGGCAAGAATGGTATGGAGGTCAAATGATAATGGCTGTCTAGCTTCTGAAGCTAAATTCTGATTTAGGACTACGGAGCAGGCCGAGGGTGGCAAAGTAGTTGGTGTCGACCCAGCATTGATTACAGCCTGTAAGTGAGGTAGTACGCTTTGCGGCCGGCAAATGTCCTTGAAGCTGACTGCTCTCAGCTGGTGCCCGTAGTCTTTCAGAGACCCTGAAGAAGAAGGGCTCGTCCCTTGTTGGCGTCCAGCAGAATCTTGTTGACTTGGTCTGGAAGGATGACAAACCTGCTCCTCCGAGGGAGAAGGTGACTGTTCACCCGGAGAAGTATGCTGGCAAGAGCTTCCAGGAGAAGATCCAGGATCTGCGCAAGGAATTAGAGAACAAGAAGGCTGCTGGTTTCGTTATCTGTGGGTCTTCACCTGCCGGGCCACCTTGGTCCTCTACATTCGTACTGACTAACGAACAATAGCGATGCTGGATGAGATTGCTTGGCTGTTCAACCTTCGTGGCACTGAGTAAGTTCTACGCACCCAACTTTCGCCACGGCATCATTCTGCACCCGGTCCTGAGCTAAATCATTGGTTCTAGCATTCCCTACAACCCCGTGTTCTTTTCATACGCTATCGTTACCCCCACCACTGTTGACATTTACGTTGATGATGATAAACTTACGCCGGAGGTGAAGGCCCATCTTGGTCAGGACGTCGTGGTCAAGCCTTATGATTCGATCTTCGCGGATGCCAAAGCACTAAGCGAGGCTCGGAAGCAGCAAGCTGAGGGTGCGTCTTCTAAGTTCCTTGTATCTAACAGGGCTTCTTGGGCTCTAAGCCTTAGCCTCGGAGGCGAGGAGCAGGTTGAGGAGGTCCGTAGCCCTATTGGCGATGCCAAGGCGGTCAAAAACGAAGTTGAGCTCGCAGGCATGCGGGCCTGTCACATCCGTGATGGTGCAGCCTTGTCGGAGTACCTGGCCTGGCTCGAGAATGAGTTGATCAACAAGAAGACAACCCTGGATGAGGTGGATGCTGCAGACAAGCTGGAGCAAATCAGATCCAAGCACGATCTCTTTGCTGGCCTGTCGTTTGACACTATCTCCTCTACGGGTCCTAACGGTGCCGTCATCCACTACAAGCCCGAGAAGGGAAGCTGCGCAATCATTGACCCTACCGCCATCTATCTCTGTGACTCCGGCGCTCAGTACCTGGATGGAACAACTGACGTGACCCGTACATTCCACTTCGGCAAGCCCACAGAGCTTGAGAAGAAGGCATTCACTCTTGTGCTGAAGGGTCTTATCTCGATTGACACTGCTGTATTCCCCAAGGGCACTAGTGGCTTTGCGCTTGATGCGCTTGCGCGACAGCACCTGTGGAAGGAGGGTCTCGATTACCTGCATGGAACTGGTCATGGAGTCGGTTCTTACCTGGTGAGTTCCACGAAGCCTGCCTGAATCTCTGCTTTGCTAATTCTGCGTTAGAACGTGCACGAAGGTCCTATTGGCATTGGCACGCGCGTACAATACACTGAAGTCCCCATCGCTCCTGGCAACGTTATTTCCGACGGTTGGTTAGACCTTGCACCCTGGGAATTCTGGATGCTGACCAAAGCAGAACCCGGCTTCTACGAAGATGGAAAGTTTGGTATCCGTATTGAGAGTATGTCTTCCAACAAACGCAAACAACGTGCAAGTAGCTGACGATGCTTTAGACATTATCATGGCACGCGAAGTGCAGACGACGCACAAGTTCGGTGATAAGCCCTGGTTGGGCTTCGAGCACGTCACGATGGCTCCTATCGGTCAAAATCTGATTGAGCCCTCTCTTCTCACTGATGCCGAGCTCAAGTGGGTCAATGATTACCATGCTGAGGTCTGGGAAAAGACACACAAGTTCTTCGAGAACGACGAATACACCCGTGGTTGGCTCCAGCGGGAAACCAAGGCGATTTCCAAATGAGCCTGTTAGCTCCTGTTTATACCATGAACCTCATATAGAGCCTGGAGCCAATGCATTATACCTAGACCAATACCTGGATCGACACCTGGCCTTGTTGCCGAGCCCTAGGTCGTGCTCTTCAATGCGCTGTAATGTTCCAGGAAACGGTATTATAGAACCATTCGCGGTCAAATTCATTGTAGAACTACTATATAGTGTGAAGGCTTTGAAAGGGCTTTGAAAGATTCAGGGACAAGCACCCCTCTTATCAGATAAGTTAGTAAAAAAAAAGATACTGTACCGTGGACGGAAGGCCAAGCAGGCCGGAGGAGGAGGTGGGCGGGAATGTGGAGAAACGGGCCAAGCGACACCTCGCGGAATCGGTTGTTTCCACATGCAGCTCCTCCGATTGTCTACAACAATCTTATCCCACATCCCTTAGGACCTGTCGCAACCCGATCTAACCACGAAAGCCTCCCGTTCCAAGAACACCTTGTGGTCCGGAACACTCGCGACCTCCGATATTTGCTCCACGCATTCCCCCGAAAAACGACCATGCTTGTGTCACCTCCTGTTTAATCCCGCTACGTCAGTGCTCAGAGCAGACTTACGGAGGTCGAGATCGAGGGGTGATTCCAGCGACCGACCGACCGACCGACCACATTTTCTTGCACACACACACACACACACACACACACACAGTACACAACCGAAGGCGCGAATCGCTCTTCCCGACTTACCTATCCGTTATCGAATCGAAGAGTCCTCCGAGTACAAGTGACCTGGCATGAGCGGCCGAAACCCTTACGCGAACGGATACGGATACTCCGACACCAGCCGCTACGATCGCGGTGATGGCGGGTACGGCAGCAACGGCAGCAACGGGAGCAATAGCTTAGGGATGAATGGATATGGAGGAGGAGGCGGAGGCGGTGCCGATAGCAGCGGTGCATCAGGGGCCCGCGATCTCCGGCCTGGAGGCTATGGTGGCTTCTACCCGGAGGCGTCGCCGTCGTCCTTATCGCCGGCTCAATCGCCGGAGCGACGCCATGACCGGTGGGATCGCGACCCCGAGCATTCGTCGTCGCGGTCTAGAACCAGGGAGGGCGATGCGGAGAGGGCGACGTTGGGCTCTCGAGACGGTCGGACGCCGCGTGGGGAGACGAGTTGGTTGGGAGGCAGCAGCAGCCGCGAACGCGAATGGGAACGGGAGCACAGGGCAATGAATTCTGCTGGACGCGCGGGGGGCCAGGGAGGAGGCTCTCAGGCTATTGAAGGTGCGATAACGCTATTTTTCTTGGGGAAGAGCTATCTTCCGTTATTGGCGGATTGCGTGGGAAATACCAGTTGTGGCTGACTTCGTGAATTGGCAGATGTGTTACAGATGGTACAACGTGAATGGGACTTCGTGGCCTCTGAAAGCTGCGTTCCGGTGCAGGTGGCGTTACAATTGATGGACACGAGCACGCTGGGAAAGGCAGAGCGCGAAACGGAGTTCCTGGAGATCCATGATCAAATACAGCGGACGCTGAAGTCGGTCGTCAATGGTGAGTGAGACTTGTTTGGGGGACCCGATAATGGTTCGGTGACAGCTATTTTCTGTTTACTGATACCGCTCGCTAGAACACCATCAGGGCTTCAATAGTTCTATCGGTACATATCATAAGATCCAGACCAGTATTCAGACTTCGCAGACTCGCGTGCGCAACCTGAAGAACGCCCTTGAGGGAGCGAAATCGGGCTTGCTGTCCACCAAGCCCGAGCTGAAAGGGCTGGCTACATCTTCGCAAAAATACGACGACATCATTCAGCTGTTCAGCCAGATCCAGGAGATTCAATCGCTGCCGGAGAAGCTGGAGTCCCGCATCTCCGATAAGCGTTTCCTTGCCGCGGTTGAAGTGCTGCATGACGCGCTACGGCTGTTGCGGCGTTCTGAACTCGAGAACATCGGGGCGCTGGCGGATATTCGCGCGTACTTCGGTAGCCAGGAGGCTTCTCTGACGGATATCTTGATCGAAGAATTGCATGATCATCTGTATCTGAAATCTCCTTACTGCGCCAATCGGTGGAAACCCCCAACAGCCGAGGGAGAGGGCAACGGCGTCAATGCTTCCAGCTGGTCTGGTAACAACGCCTGGGAACGCCCTGTCTACAACTTTTTGGCCAAGCTGGATGCCTCTAACCCGATGGTGGAGGATGCTTCTCGGAACCCCGAAGCCGACACATTCTACTACATTCAGTTACTTATAGAAGCGCTCAACAAGATGGGTAATCTTGACATCGCGGTGGATCGGATCGAGCAGAGACTCCCTGTCGAACTGTTCTCCGTTGTGGACAAGACGAATGCCGAGATCGACGCACGTTACCCCGAGTTGTCTACCCGTGGCTTTGCAGCCCAAGACAGCAGAAGCGGCGTGGCATCGAAGACCATCGAGAAGCGTGGCCACGTGCTGACCGAATTCTTGTGGACATTGTACGCCAAATTTGAGTCTATTGCCGAGGGCCACCGTGTCATCCATGACGTGATCGCAGCCATTGTTACACGAGAGGGCATCCCGAAAAGCAACACGCTTGCTGGTGGGTTCAAGGAGCTTTGGAAGCTTTATCAGAGCGAGGTAGGCGATTAAATTGCGGTAATTCTGTTCATTTTCTGACGACATCTGTATAGATTCGCTCGCTCTTGCACGACTACTTGGCTACTGATGGAGAGTACCGACCGAGAGATGAAGACGACGCTAGGCGTCAAATGTACACGGGCATGCGAGACAAGAACAAAGTATGTGAAGAGAGCTGCAATGACGATTGCTGAATACTAATCGATCGCAGAAAATGTTCAAGCTGTCCGAAACAGATCAAACCACAGAGATTCAAGCCGAGCAGTCTGAACTGGACGAGATTCTCAGGTCGTCTGTGCCGGGCTTAGTGATCAAGTCTAATCAGAAATTCGCAGTGACCGATACCTCCGATGCTAAGCAAGGCAACTCGGGTACTGGCCACAAGATCCTCATTGAACCAAGTGTATTCAATATCAGTCTCGTGCTGCCGCCCTCTCTCTCTTTCATTCAACGGTTGAAGGAGATCGTGCCGGTGGATTCGGATCTTGCGATGACCACCTTGACATCCTTCCTGGATGACTTCTTGGTCAACGTATTCTTACCTCAACTTGATGATACAGTCACAGACCTTTGTACCCTTACTATTGTCTCACCCGATGCATTCACAGAAGACCCCCAATGGTCCACGGTCTCGCCTCGACCCGTCTTCAAGGTACTTTTTCTGGCATAGACATTCCGAGCTTTGATACTAACTGCGTTTTAGGGAGCGGTCAAGCTCATGTCAATCATCCAAGACTTTAGCAAGATGCTATCCAGCATTCCTCCTGATCAAGCCTTCACACAGCTGCTTCTTACTCAGATCGTGACTTACTACGATAAGTGTTGTGGATGGTACAAATGTGAGAAAATGCACGATTTTAAAGCATGAACAATTATTAATTTCGATATTTAGCAATTGTGACCAAGAAATCTCCGCGAGACAAGGGAGAGCCCCGGCTCAAGGCCGCTGCAGGCTTTGCTGAAGCTGGAGACGTTCATGATGTCGTTGCCGAGCTCTGGAAAAACGAAACGAATGATAAATGGGCACTTGTCGATAAGGTATGGTTTTCGTGAATGATCTTAGCATGAGCTGCGCTGACGAAAGATAGGAAATTGAGCTGCTTCTCCAGCTGACCTCCGAAATCCCGTTAGAGCCTTACGACATCATTTCCGACCCTAAGACTGTGGTGGCTCTGTCGCTCCTCTACAATAGCATGGTTCGTTTGCTCACTCAGTCACCGTTCTTTCTTGTGTATACTGACTTGGATACAGCAATGGTTTGCGAGTCACCTATCCCAGCTACGCCAAATCATCCCGACCTCGGAAGCTCGACGCCCGGAAACCGGGCCTCCTAACCGTCGTTGGACCTTGATCGGGGCGATGAAGTCCAAGGTCGATGGTGTCAGTCAGCCGATATATTTGCCCCTAAGCCAAGAAACGGCGACTATCTTCGACAACACTCTTGGGTCACTGCGCGAATTGGCGCACACCGCTCTGTTCGCCCTCCACATCGATTGTCGGTGTGGCGTCATCCATATGCTGAAGAAGACGATGGCAGGGCCTAATCCTCGAAACTCGCGCGCTTCTGAGCCTACGACGCCATCTCCCAGCACTACCACTCACTGGTGGCATATTTTGATGAACCAGCCCACTGCTGCATCGCCTACGATTCTAGAATTGAATGGTGATCTGATCGGCTTCGACAGTAACATCTCCACTTACCTCGGTTCATCTGAGAGATGGTTCATTACCTCTGGGCTTGCTCGCTTCATCGACCAGACCTTTGTGGCCAACACTGGCCTGATCGGCGCTATAAACGAGAACGGAGCCTTGCGCCTTCAACTGGACGTCCTCGTCTTGCAACAGAACCTGAAGAACATCATCATCGATCCGATGCAGGATCCGGCGCATGACGGAACCACCAGCCCCCACGAAGAGCACCACGAGGTGGTCGCGCTCCCGCGCAGCGCCAAGTTCCTGGACTGGTTTCTCGAGGGCGCCGAGAAAGCCCTCGACTACGCCAAGGAAGAGAAGGAGTCCTTTGCTGCCCATGGAGAGAAAGCGCTGGCCGCTGGCAACGGAGAACCCTTCACGTACGAAGAGCTCAAGATCCTCATCGATCTCTGCTTCTCGGATGCTTTGCTCGGGCCCAGAGGAGTGGATAACCGGGAGGAATTTATGGCTGCCAAGAAGGCCAGTGCGGAAGCTCTGCTGAGATTGAATGAAGTGATGTGGGATTCCAAGTAGGAGGAGTGCACATGCACATAGTATCCACACTGCGATGCGAAATATAATCTCTTTCTTTCTTTCATATCCATAAGTTGAGGTTGTGCTGTAGCCCCAGGGGGTGTCCCGGCCAAGATGATGGGAGCCCAGAACGGGATGGACCGACCCACTTGTTAGATGCGCCGAAATTGTCCAGAATTTTCTCTCTCTCTCTCTCTCTCTCTCTCCCAAGCAGTGACCAGTCGTTTGACGCCAAGCACAATTTCAGGAGAACATGTCTCTTGGGGTGGGCCGTGGATTTTGGATGTGAACCTCAATCCGGAATCATCAGACAATCGAAACTCGACAAAGAGATTCTGAGACAGTTCCGCTTAGTGCGCTTAGTGCTTAGTGCTTAGGCTGATAACAGGATAACAGGAGAACAGTCTAGGGAGTAGAGCCACAGCGGGCCACAACTGCTCACAAGTTCCAACTGCTCCCAACTCGCCGTTGCCAGCAAAATCTCCGGGGTGGGTCTGACCGGAGTAGTTTAATTAAAAGCCAATATATCAATGCCCGCACTTGTATCCATTGATCGAATTGAACGATCGAATTGATCCCCAGTCCAGTGTTTCACCTCACGATCTCATTTCCCGCTGGTGGCTGCCTTGCCCAGTGGCCACTCGCTCGCTCTGCCTTTCGGCCCGTTGACTGCTCCCCCTGGTAGTTTCATTTCCCTGATATTGCTGACAATGGGGCAAAACCCATGATGCTGAAATGGACCCATCATAATGTCCGGATCACGGGGCAGACATCCTGTGCTTGGGGGGGATTCCTTTTATTCCCTTGATCCCGCGCTGTGAGCTCTTTCTATCCTTCTTCTCTCCATCTCTCGTTGACCACTACCACTCTGTCCGGAACAGCAGTTCTATAGTCCTGGGATTTGATATCCAGGCGTCCATTCTTTCCTCGAAACCAACTTCATCCGTGTTGATTCCACGTTCTTTTGCCATCTCGGCTATTCAACCAGAGACCAATCTTCCATTCATTACTTCCCTGTTTAAACCCTCCCATCAACCATGAAGTACGAACGTCTTGCCTCGCTGGGCCTTGCTGCCCTGGGTGCCCTTTCCTCTGTGTCTGCCCGGCCTATTGCGACCCCCGAGGACGACGAGTGGGATTGTGGCGACGATGATGTTGCTGTCAGCACGCACTATGCGACAGTCACTCCCACCGCTGCGGTCGAGACCTCTACCTTCACCGATGTTGAGGCTACCACCGTGTTCCTCACTACGACCATCACCCTCGGCGCTGGTCAGACCACATCCACTGTCCAGACCGTGATTGTCAACACCCAGGCTACCACTACCGCTGCTGCTCAGCCCACTTCCACCGTTGAGGCTGTGACTGTCAACACCCAGGCTGCCACTACTGCTGCTCCTGCCCAGGTTTCCGTTGCCTCCGTTGAGGAGCAGAAGCCATCCACCACTAGCACCAGCACCACAGCCGCCAGTGTTGCCACGACTGCGGCTGCTCAGGTCTCCGTTGCCTCCGTCGAGGAGAAGAAGGCCACGTCCTCTTCCACTAGCACCACGGCCGCCAGCGCTGCCACCTCCTCTGCATCGTCTTCTTCCTCTTCCTCTTCTTCCTCCAGCAGCAGCAGCAGCAGCAGCAGCCTGAGCTCCGAATTCTCCGGCGAAGCCACCTTCTACGGCGGCAACGTCGACGGCGGCGCCTGCTCGTTCAGCGGCTACACCATCCCCTCCGGCCTCTACGGCACCGCCCTAGGCTCTCCCCGCTGGGACAACGCCGCCCAGTGCGGCTCCTGTGTCCAGGTCACCGGCCCCAGTGGCAACAAGATCAAGGCCATGGTAAGCAGACCTTAGCCCTGAACCAAACCACCCCCACCCACAAACCAAACTAACACGCGGAACCCCCCCACAGATCGTGGATGAATGCCCTGAATGCGACTCCAACCACCTCGACCTCTTCCAGACCGCCTTCGCCGAGCTGGCCGACATCTCCAAGGGCGTCATCTCCATCGACTGGGAGTACGTCGAGTGCGGCATCACCACCCCGATCAAGCTGAACAACAAGAGCGGCACCTCCGCCTACTGGTTCGCCATGCAGGTCGAGAACAGCAACGAGCCCGTCACCAGCCTCGAGGTCAGCACCGACGGCGGCAGCACCTGGCAGTCCACCACCCGCTCCACCTACAACTACTTCGAGAACGCCAGCGGGTTCGGGACGGATACTGTGGACGTGCGCGTCACCAGCGAGTCCGGCGCCACCATCACCGTCAACGATGTTAGCGTGTCGTCGGGATCGTCGGTCACCGCTTCGTCCAACTTTTCTTAGGTTGGCTACGGGGCGGTGCGTTTCGCGATGTGATGACTATCCTCACGTCTGAAGGATAATTCTATTTATCTTTACTTTTCTTCGACTTGACTTCCTGTAGGGGGTCGCTTTCAGCGCTGCTTTGTTCTGTCGCATGGGCAATGAGTAGACAGCGTCGTATTCCAATTTCGAGCTATATTCTTCTCTTGTATATATATTGACCACACACCCTTTCAAAAAAGAACTTTCTCTTCATCTTGACAATTAGGACATCCCGAAAATTGTATTTCCTGGCTTTACCGGATTTTGAGCCTGCTGCTTTTCCCCAAGCCTCATTATAGATTAAGTCAACTCCTTTTCCCTTGTGTACGGCAGCTAGCCACCCATGATCTGGCCGAGTATCTCCACCAGCACTATATACCCAAGGCAGCAAGAGCCGTAATTAGCATATTAGATCCAATAGTCTATGGGGTGCCCTGCAGGTAATTATGCGTGTGTCCAATATTTAATCTATAATTTGATTAAATTCATCCCGGAGAACAATTCCCGGCCAGCTACGGAGTATTCCTCGGCCAGTCCTTACTGGATGGACCAGGACCCTGAGAGCTATAGCAGCAGCATGTATATGGCTCAGCAGATGGTGGTCTTGGCCTTGGCTTGATGCTGGTTAAATATGGAAATGAAAGACACGACTACTGAACAGGGAAATCGGGCTAAATTCTCCGCTTTGGGTCTGAACTTGGCGTCGCTTTTTGCTCTCGCGATGGGAATGGGCGGGGGGGGTGGGGTGAGTGCAGAACTACTAATTTCACACAGTCGATTCTTGTTAACCGCATGTGTACCAGGCACCTAGGATGGTAGAGGGATTCAGTAAGTAAACAGGCTGTGTAAATCATGGCAGATTTCATATAGTATCCATGAGGTTTTTGAGGATGTAAGGTCGAAAAATGTACTCGGAATTGAGATATTAGGCAGAAGTTGCAACGGCTTCACGCTCTGTCTTCTTTGACATTCACAGACGGAATCATGTATCAGACCATGCTGCTGGTACGATGGCCGCTGGAAATATCATGCATACCAGATTGGAGCCACCTCCATGCGCGAGGGAGAGTGCTGTGCACGCCATGGATTGTATCGACAGATTATCGAGACCGAACTAGGAAACCAGGAATCTATACATTCAGATCGAATATAATGCCACCCACCTGAGAATAACGGCAAGGGACGTTGCCACCAGAGCAAAAGCCCACGGTGAATGGCTCCTCGTCCACGCCACTGAACCGCGGATCCAGCTTCGAGCCCGCTCGATCTCCGATGCCCGCGTACATGCCACCACGGTGAGCCGGAAGACCAGCCGCAGCTTGATCCGCTGATACAGCGGCATCGGGATCGCGCCCTGAAAATCCGGGGTGTCAACCACGAGGGATCCGTCGCGGAAGTAGAAATTCACTCGTTCGCCGAGGCTCCGCCGCAGCCAGATCCGGCACAGCCGCTGGAGGTCGTGCACGGGTAGCTGGGGCAGCATGCGGTAGAATGCGTCATGATGCTCGAGCGCCTCGTGGATCTCGGCGTAGCGTTCGTCTGTTGCCAGGCGGAACGCGGAGAGTGCGAGGTTCATGATCTCGCTCGGCAAGGAAGGCTGTCTTGACAAGATGATCGCCGGGAATTCCGGTATTGGGACGGTGGGAAGCATTCTTGCCATGAGGGCGAGAGCCTCGAGGGGCAGCTCGGACTGTTCCAGCAGCCATAGTGTGGCATCCAGGACCAGCGCGTTGTCGGCACGATCGAGGAATCGCGTGAGCGCAAGGATAAGAGGCGGCGGCAAGTGGGCTTGAGCCACGAGAGTCTTGACCACCGCCCTAGCGATCCGGTCATCACTCGTCACGAATCTTTCACTGAGTTGGAGGAGCTTTCCAGGAGGCAGGAATGGTTGTGCCCCGAGAAGATCCAAGATGTACTCAACGTCTCCTTCCTCTTCTTCTCCTTCTCCTTCTAAATCCGCCAATTCCGCCAGCTCTAGGAGTCTATTGCCCAAATCTGGAGGCAGACCTCGCCTGAGAGCGCTCCGGAATATTGGATCGAACCTTGACGTATGGTGATCTTGCGGATCGACCATCTGAGCAAACAGATGATAAAGCAACTCGTGCGGGACTTTTGGGTGCTTCCTGATGGCCTCGGATGCTTTGTGAGCTACAGAGTAATCTGGGTCTTCCAGCCTGAGTACCAGATCATCGAGATACTTTAGCTCATCATCTGGGTACTTTGTCAAGGTTTTGACTGCCTGATATCTAACTAGTGGATGATGATCCTCTAGCAAGCCCGCCACCCGATCTAGCACATGGTGTGGAAGTTCCGATTGACCACGTAGAGCTTTGGCGGCTGCTTCTCGAACAGTCCACTTTGTGTCGTTCAACAACTCTGCCACCGCTTCAAATGTTGGCTTAGATAAATCTGATCGACCGCCGAGGATCAAGGCAGCTACTCCTCGCACTGCGGGATCGATATGCTTCAGCCTTCGTACAATGTCCTCCCGAATGTTTTGAGATGGCAAGAGCTGCTGCCAGACCGTAGTTCGTAAATCTTTTACCAGACAATCACCGAAGTGCACTTCTTGGTCAAGCCAGTCCGCCATACTGGGTGGCAAGAGAGGATGCTGGGCCAGAACCCCGACAGCCAATTTTCGCACGATGAAGGATTTGTGGTCCAGTAAAGAACAGACATAGCCCAGAATACTTGGAGACACCAGCGAATGGCGGCATAATGATTTCTTTACAATGTCGAATGGCGACTCGTAAGAATTGATTTGTTTGTAAACAAGATAGGTCATAGACTGTAAGATCTCAAGCGACAGATCCAAACGTTCCAGTATCTTGAGAGATTTGGATGTCACGTCGTCTGACTCCGGGTCTGATAGTCCATGGGCAATGGTATTGACATAGGCTTGCAGAGCTGAAGGTGGCTGTTCAGAGAGAATTTCCAGTGCTGCCGCCTTCAAACCAGCTGGCTCATAATGCAGACAATCTAAAATTGCCCTCAGGAGATCCTGTGGTAAGGCCGGTACCTGGACGCCTTTAAAGTCGGACTCCTCCGCTTTTGATTCATCATGCAGGTGCCCAAGAAGAATTTCGGAAGCCTTGGGGGACAGTGACCGGCAATTTCTGAGCAGGATTCGAACAAAGATCGGATTTAGTTCATCGTCGGAGACTTGGTCTACCCAGGAGGCTATCAAGTCTGTGAGACTTGTCGAGACTCTGCGCTGAGCAATGACATTCAGAACATGTAGTCTGACGTCAGAACTTTGGTGTTTCAAGAGAGAAAATAGAACTGCATCCGGATAGTCTGCCTCCTCTGCAAGCTTCCCTTTATAATAGGCTGTGGCCTCGAAAGAGCTCCACCGGGCGAGCTGTTGGTAGTGATTCTGACGCAGAGATCTCAGCCTAGCAATATTGTTCGATGCAGGTACTTCACTCCACAAGCGCATCATGAGCTTGCTATGCATGGGGCCCAACATATCTCGAGGTTTGTTTTCCATGGCCTCAAGGAATGCGGCCGTATGCTCCTCGCTTTGCTTTTGGTGGTTGTATCCGACACCCAGAAATCCGGCCACAAACCTCCAGAACACCTCATAGCGAACGTTGTATTTCTCTCTTGCCATGAAGACTTGGAGTGGGATATCAGCGTCTGTGTGGCCATGCAGTGTCAAGCTGTGTATCGTGGCTTGGCTGGTCCAGTGTTTCGCGAAAAATCGGGCAGCGAAGAACTCTTGAACTGTCAAGTGTAAGAAGTGAAAGCTTTGCTGAGCATTTTCGGTGGTATCTGAAGAACGAAGAAAGCTTATCTCTTTGATTGTGCTCTCGTGAAGCCTGGGGACAAGAACATTGCCATTCAGGAGATGCTGATAGATCTGACTTCGTACTGGAGCATCAAAATCAATGATGTTGGTGAGTAGGCCATGGAAGGCCAGCGCCTCGAGGAGATTGATTTCCTCCTGCATGTGTAGCTGCACCTCGAACTCCGACAGCTCTTCCGTCTGTTGTTCTGTCAGGGTTCTGCCGTCGATTCTTTTCTCCCTGCGCCACAGGTCCTTCCGTAGTAGCTCCACGCAGATCGCCTGGTAGATGGTAGTCATAGTCCTGGCTGTGTTGCTATTACCCAGAGGCTCTTTCCAAGTGTAGCAGAGAGCATCGAGTTGAACCGGAATCTGTGCAATTTCTCTAATTCGCGAATGCTCGTCAATGAACTCCCAGATCTTGTCCGCTGTCTCAGGGTCTGGGTGGATTTCTTTGGCTCGTATGTACTTCTCAATTTGCTCAGCGTGAAAGCCCACCGTTCGCAACTTCAAGTCCTGCTTTACCACGCTTAGCTGCTTAGTTGAGTATGGACGTGAACTGATAATAGTTTGAGGCTGCTTGAGCAGAGTTTGCAAAAAGCGGCCCATAGGTGAATCGGCATCCCAGTCTTGGGAGACTTCATCTAGGCCATCTAACAGCCAGAGCACCCGAGCGCTATTCCAGGCTACGATTGAATCCAAAGTGTCTTCCAAGAGCGCCGATTCCTGGTGCTGGGAGAAGTACTCGTGGTGGAATAGGTCTTTAATGGAATAAGAATCGGCATGTTTACCCTTGAGATGTCGCAGTGGCAGCCACAAAATCCAGTCGAAGGAATCGGACCACAGATTTCGATACAGGAAATCGTGAACGACTTTCTTGCAAAGCGTTGTTTTGCCAACACCTGCCTGTCCTTCGATGAAAATTTTTTTCGGCCAGATCTTCCTGCCACCCTGTTCCCTACAATCAAATAGGCTTTCCAGCGGCACCTCATCGCCTTGATCGGAGTCCACGACATTGAGATTGATGTAACAGTGATCCACAGGGAGTCTATCCCCAGATAAACGCTGAATCTGCAGTCGTTTATCATCATCCTGAGTGTAAAATTCCAACAAAGCATTCTTGGTGTAATATTCTCGAGCCGGCATGCACTTCCGGTAGGAATCATCGAGAAGGGCGCTGCCGTCACTGGAAAGGTCTTGTCCGACGTCCTCCCATCCGCATGATCTAAGTGACCAATCGTATGTTTTCGTTCTCTTTAGTGTACTGGCTAGTTTTTGCTCAGGGGGGGTGGTTTGTTCCTTGATCGCACAAACAGTGTGCATTCTCCAGGCTTGAACACGGTCATACTTGCTTTCGGGAATGCTCTTATAGATGCGTTGTATCTGATCCGGAGGGATAAGCTGGCTGATGAGATCCAGTTGGGCATACAAGCCGCAAAGAAAGTCCTTATTGGCTCTACATTCTGCCTGTTGGATGAAATTGCTCAGCTCATCCCAGGACCGCGTGCGTATGAGAACACTGGTCGCTCGTAGGGCGGTATACCAAGACTTCCCCGTCCGCTTCTTAAACATGTCCCAGGTGAAGTCACGGAGTCGCGAAGCTCCATCTATGCCAGACTTGACTGCCTCCCAGATTTTGCTCGGATCCACAGAGGAGACCGCGCCGGAAACGGTCATTGCGAGGTCGATGGCCCGCAGCAGCCCCCGCAAGGATGCTTTGCCGACGGTATCATCATCCTGGATCCCCCGCAAGGCTTGTCCGGTGTAGGCGGCAGCCTGGGCCACATGAAGCTCACGATCGTGGCTGAAGCCATCAAGCAGGGCAATCAACGGCTTGTATAACTGTTCGTGGCTGATGGTCGACACGCCGATGTCGACCATGGCATCGATCACTACCCCTAGCACGCATACCAGTTCATATTTCCGATCCACCAATCCACCCAGTCTATCTGCTTGCTCCAACCGCACTTTCAGGCTCGAGAACAGCGCTCCCAGAATCTCCGTACTCTCCGGCGACCACTGGCCCTCTCGCTGTCGAATCATGAACGCCAGCGATCGTAGAAGGGCCGGGGAAAGCGAAGTTCCATCTGTGCTGCCGACAATGATCGCGTTGACGAGATTTCGCAGCAGCTTGATCCACCCATTGGGGATCAGCACTTCTGAGAGACGCGCAGCCTCCCATGCCAACTGCGGTATGCTAGACGTGCTGAGGCAGGCGTCGACGGCAGTCGTGCCCCAAGCTTGCAACGCCTCTTTTTCGGCCGTTTCAATGGCTTGATCCCGGAGACGAGAGATGAAATTGCGGAGAGTTATTGGTCGGGAGGAAATGCAAGGCATTGTGAGAAATGCTGTGACGTTGGGAAGGAAAGATCAAGCGGCGACTGAATTATAGAATTGGAGCAACACAGAGAGAATGATAGCGTCAGCATGCATCGCTGACAGTGGGGCGATTGGATCACTAAGCCCCTTCCCTTCGCTAGCGCATGAGAGTTATATATCAAAGTATACCGGTAGGACCGATCTGTAGTTGCGGCTTCGTGAACAAGCTGAAGTATCATGCTTACTGCGGTGCGAGGGAGCCATCAACTTTCTTGTGAAAACTGGTCATAACCATCACGCGCTGAACAACGGATCTGATCGGCATTGATTTCCAGTCTGGAAGCGATGGTCTATCTACTCACTAACATCTTGAATTCCGGGAAGATGCTGGATCGAGGATGGACGGGTCCATAGTTGGTGGTATTTGTGCTGCTTGAACTGGCGGCTTCTCTCTCGGGTCTCAAACGGTCGCTGTCCGGTCCAATTGAACAGCTGCTGCAGAATGTGAGTTCATCTTACTGACAAGATTCCTTGTGAGATGACAGTAGATTCTGCATTCGATATTTTGTATCGCGAGAGCACTCTCACTCTTTGTTTCATAGATTATCGGTTTGTGCGAGATGGGGCTTGGATACAAGGATACTCATCAACATAGATCAGCAGGCAAAGGCAGTCGCGTAGCTTATCAAGAACAGAGGGCCCCAGGTAGAATTTGGCAAGTATCAGCACGAATAACGACTACGGGGGCTGATGAAGATCACGACAATGAAATTAGTGGCCGATAGAGGGTGATGTTGGTGACGGTTCAGACAAGAAAGAGAACCCAGATAAACAGCGTTGATGAACATGAAGCATAGCAAAGGAAAAAAGGCCCTGTAAAAGCTTATGAAGAAAGCCGGTTTGCCCCGGAGATCGCTTATCTTGCAATGCTAGCATCAAAGACCTCTCACCGCCGTAGGCAGAAAGAGTGAATAGCATCATGCTTGTGCTAGCCTCCATGTCCTATATTGGAATTCATATCCACCATGCAACGATCTCCATCTTCAGATCTGGCCCCCTGTGGAGCCTGCCATGCGGCAATGTAGACTTATACTAGGAACCTATATCTGAGTTTAATGCTTAAGTGTAAACACTGTAGACTTAGTCCCTCAGTCAGCTACAAGACCCTTTCAGCACAGCTTAACTAGAAATGCTTCCTTGGTCTTAATTATAGAAAATCCAGCACACCCATCTTTTCCCTCTCTATGCCGCTCATAAATCTGTTTCTGTGAATCTGCAAACACTCACACCGTTTCCATGCCACCTCCCACAACCGATATCCTACCCTTCCACGACCCATACACAATAACCCAGTTTCTAACTCATCCATCACCGTCCCCCCACTGAACCCCATTCCCCTCCTATACTCCCTTCGATCTCAAATCACCACTCGCGCGATCAAGACACAACCCACAAGAACTATGGACTACCAACCATGGCACAACGCCGCCTTTTTTTCCGGGTTTGAATTTGCAACCCCCCTAGACCCCAAGGGAACAGACCAAGACTCCACAAAAAGAAAACAAGACTCCAAGAAAGGCAAACAAGACCTCGAAAAAGGGAAACAGAACACCAAGCCGGAGGCAGAAAGCAGCCGGCCCCAACCCCCCAAGGGAAAACAAGCCTCGAAAGGAAAACGCAAAGCCAAACCCCCGAAACCCAACCAAGAAACCTGGGAAATCCAAACCGTCCTCTCCATCCGCACGCAGCCCACCCCAATCCCAGCAACCGACCCACCAGTCTTCACCACTGTGACCTCCCTCGTCGCCCGCGTGAACCAACTCACCGGGCCCATCCGCGGCCGCGAAGCCATCCTAAAGCTGAGATTGCACCCTGTGCCCCTACCCCAACCTCCTTCCACAGCTTCAGCTTCAGCGTCAGCTACCCAGAGCCAGAGCCAGAGCCAAACCCAGAGCCAGACTCAGCCCCCCAGCTCCCCGTCCCCAATCTCAGCGCATGAAAAAGAGAAACAAGCCCTAACCCACCTCCCCACGGCCAAAACCTACGCGCCCTACCTCATCACCACCCACCGCAGCGCCTTCACTGCCCTCGCCGCAAACCCACGAGACACACGGTTCAGCGCAGCAGCAATGGCGACAGCCGTATCCGCCGAGGACAGCTTCGCGACGCTCCTCCTCCTGGCCATGCCGGTGGGAACAGACTGCCGGAATATCCAGATGTGGGGGAACGGTAACGAGCGTGCGGCGCTGCGCACGGCGTTCCGCGAGACGTACCTGGCCCTGTGTGCGGCGGGGGTGATGCATACGCGTCCGGGCCCGGAGCATGTCATTTGGGATCGGGAGCATCGGAAGTGTTATATCGTAGGCTTGGGGAATGCGGTGCTGGGTGAGAGGGATCGGGTTGTGCCGGTTGGGTTGTGGAATCGGGTGTTGGGGGTTTGGGGGCTGGAGGGTGCAGAGAAGGATCACGGGCATCCTGGTGTTGGGGAGGAAGAAGGCGAGGCGGATGAGGGGAAGGAATGAAGAATGTGAGGCTCTCCGGACGTTGCTCGTATTGATTGATTTGCGTGTGCAGTAGGCAAGGCGGACGATGCTTCTTTGGACTCAACCATGTTGGGCTTGGTAGAATCGATTTCTGGTCTGGGGATGCATACACTAACAGGATGGATCTTGGAGGTTCGGTGGGTTGGTTTTGTCTTAGATTTGAGACTCACCCTTTCGGGATTTGACGAGTTAATGTGTACGTACTGTTTTGCTCTATCCGGTGTACAGTATGCCATACATACCTTATCGTCATTAAGAGCTCGGATTTCATGGCTGTAGTTAGCGTATACTGTCACACCAACCAATATCCCCACCTAAATTCTAGATCATCCGAGGTCTCCACATTTCCGGACAGACCAGCGGCAGGGTTGGAAACTGAGACGCAGGTTCATACGCGAGATGTTTTACATACGCATCCAATGACGTCTCAAGGATCACCTTGACCTCACCTCATTTACACCCAGAACGATACACCCAGAGCAATAGTTAGTCATCTGAAATTTCAATAAGAGCAACGGACTGCAGACCATATACATAGCCCGCAACCCCGCTGCTAGCCATGCGATTGAGGACTAACCCATCCGTTCGAAGAACTAGCATACAACAGGGAATAAGAGCACGAGCAGGGGGATCAGAAAGCCGGCCATGGCGAAAAGATTAGCAACAACTCATGTTGTCTTCCCATCAGAACAACACCATGAAATAATTGTACCCAGTGAGAAGACCCTTGCAGAAACAAAAACGAAAAGAAAAAAACCAGGTGGGGATCAAGTAGGATTTGTGCAGAAACGTTGTAATATCAACCGGCAACATCAAGCGCAAAGAAATTGAAAATGAGCGAGCATGTCACAACTCAGCCCCTGGAAATGAACAAGTCGTAGCACATATGGAATGGCCCAAGCAAGAACGCCGCGCAGACACAGGAATAGAGATTTAACGGACACCAACATGAAACTAGACTTGGCCGGGATCCACCTCAAGGGGCTCCAGCTCCTTTGCTTCTTCATAGTCATCGAACTCAAGACCTGCATCGCGGCAACGTTGCAACCATTTCACGGCAATGTCACCACGGCGGTTGACCTCAACCTTCAATTTCGAGTTCTGAGAGCTGATTTCGCTGATGGCATGACTCGTGGTCATGTTGTTCTGTTCCCAGCGCTCACTCATTGCCTTCTTTTCCTCGTGCAACTGGCAAATGTACTCAATCGCGCGCTGCAAAATGGCACCCTTGTTCTTGTCGCAATTGGGTACGAGGCGAGCAATCTGGTTGATACCCTCATTGATGGCTTCGCGACGACGACGCTCCACTAAGACGACCTGTTAGTATAGACAATTGAACATTGCCGTCGGGAGGTCTTACCTTCTTTGTGGTTGTTCTTGCGAATCTGGTGCCACTCCGGGGAGCCAACAGAAGGCTTCTGGTTCATACTCTGTGCCTCACGCGCAGCATACACCGCAGCAGCAGTGGAGTTGTGACCATGAGCGGATCCAATAGCCTGGCTGATGTCGTCTCCAAATGCCAAGCCGTGCGCAAGGTTGTTGTCGAAGGTGTTATCGGGGGGAGGTGGGTATTTGTTCTGAGGAGTGTGGGCAGCGAGCGCAGCTTTAGCCGTCAAGGCGTTGTCGTCCGAGATACCATTCTGCGGACCGACGTGCTGAAGGATTTGCTGGTCGATGTTCAACTCTGTGGATGGGATGCCGTGGGTATCATAGGATCCCAGCGAACTGTGCGTGAAGTTGGGCTGATTGTCCGCGGGTGGGAGGCTTCCGTTGCCTCCATTCGAGGTTCGGTTGAGTCGCTGGGCATCGGGGCCAGTTTCATCAGTGCTGTCACGCTTGCGCTTGATGGTGACACTGCCATCAGCAGTACCCATGGATGGATCAGACATCTTGCCGATCTCTGTACCCTGCGACTCACGATGGTTATTAGCCAATCGCGCAGCGACGGACCCTTCAAGAATCGGTACCTGTTCAATACGGTAGAACTCGATGAGATTCAAATTTAGCCGTTACCAGGTCCTCAGGGCTAAATCGAGATTGACTCGGTCGTTGTGCGACACTGTAGCTTCCGTTAGTTGAAATGCCACCTTATGTGATTCAACGGTGCAGGAAAGCAAGACATGCGAGTGCAGGCATATGCAGATAGGCAGAGGTGCGTCGAGTCAGCTGGAAATTAGTGCACATGTTGTGGGGATTCAGCAAATAGTGATCAACAAGCTTTAATGTTGATGCTTGCCTGGTACACGCGTGAGCGACGCGCACAGCGGCACAGCAAACAGACATGGCCTGCTCGAAAGATGAAAGTACCTTGCACAACAGCAGCAAAGAATACAACTACATTAAACTCTTCTTAGAAGAAGACACAAGGGTTGAAGGACAACAAAGGTGAAGACATGTTCACAACTCGTCAATTGCCGTCGGAGCAGCAGCAGCAGCATCGGAGACGCGTCCGGGTGGTTCTGCGACCGATGGAACCGCGCAAAAAACACAGCATCATTATCCCCGACCGTCTCCTAACCCAGCCTTGGCCGACATGAGGCCGAAGGGATGTGGGGATAGGAAGACTTCCGAGATACGAGAAGGTGGATAGCAGGAGCGGAGAGCCCGTTGAGGTACCCAGAGGTGAAGTTGGAGTTCGAGAAGGAAAGGGGGAGAGCTGGTTTACCTTGGGATGGTGTCTCTATCACCTGACAGCAAGTCACCTGCCACGGGCAACAACAAGACGATGAGATACCGATTCGTTCGCGATGTCGAGAAAACGGATTTGATTTCCAAAAGAAAGGTTGGGATCGAATCGTCAGAGCTGAAAATAGCGAACAGACCGGATTAGAGCTCAAGCAAAAAGGTGTGGTGGTTATTACAATGGAAAAAAGGGATACATGGGGAGTTTGAGTAGAGAAAGAGTCGAGTAGAGAGGGACTGCTCACGTGGCGAGGGACGAGGACGAGAATCGAGGAGAGGGAGTCTCCGTAGACTGAGGAGAACCACGAGCTCCAGGTGCGGACAGCGACCTAGGGCGCAGATCAGTCACCTGACACCGTGCAAAAGAGACTGTCCTCCCCCTAGAACCACTGCACTGATTCACCATCATACCACCATGATTCTGTGATTATCTACATTTTTGCTGCACTTTCTCACCCCCCCCTCCCTCTGTCTTCCCACCCACCCTCGAATTCAACCTAATTCAACCGCTTTCTCATCCACATGTCATGTGCTGCCATCCCGTGCCCCCCTCTTCTCTCAGCTACCCAGCTTACCCTTCTGATTGGCTAGCCACCCTATGCTCTCCCGGTAGCCGGAGGAGGGGTTGACCCGGAATCACGTGGAATCCGACAACCCTCCTTGCCCAAAAGGGTTAACAAGCTTATCGGCCTGCACTGCCTGGGGAGCGGAGGAAGATGGTTGAAGTCAATTACTATCGCCAGAAGGCTTCAATCGTCGAAGGAGCAATCCTACCATCTGCCACCTCAGCTATTGGCGTAAAGATCACCTTGATTGCTGCGCCATGGGAGAATAGGCTGCCTGCTCATCCCGGTCGGCCCGTTCCTTCTTCGACAGCAAGTCAGTAAAGTAACTTAGTAGGTAGTTAGGATAGTCAACGAGTCTAGACTAACTAGGTTGAGGTAGTCAGCATGTATTGGTTAGGTAGCTAAAGTCCATTCCATATTTTCCCTGATGCCCGTTCGCTTAGCCGCCGATCCCTCGTCCTTGCGCAGCAGCAACGCTGTTCATTGAATGGCCTCCGTCATGATCTACTTCTCCGCTCACCCAGTAGAATGAACTGTAGCTACTGTATGTCCGCCATGACCTCCAGCTCGTCAACCCACCTGCTGGGAGGTTTGTAGACACGCAGTTCGAAGAGTGAGTCCCTGAACTTTCCACCGACAAGGATATTGACCACTTTAGTATCTTTCGACCAGAAGAAATGTCCTCGTTGCCGTGGATGAGTTCTCAATCCCTCCCCCGTCTGTCCACTGACTCCAATCATCACATGTTTGCTCTCTTGACCGGATTTAGGACTCTGGAGTAAACGTTCGAGGGTTACATGGAGAAACGAGGCTAAGATGGCAGGGCAGGCCTGAATGTCCGGTCCTCAGGAAGGGAGGGGGGTGGTGAACCATTTGATGGCAAAAGTGGTGGATCGTTGGTCATGAGATAAGGCGCTTGTGTGGGATCCAGAACTAATTTACCCCCAGCAAGTATTTGCTTATGCACGGAACAATACATTTCTCGAGGGAGATCTTGGCCACAATGCAAGCATCCGAAATGGTTGTTCTCCAGCATGAGGAGACTATGGGGGCTAAAAAACTCTGGTCGCGTTGCTGCAAGACACTTGAAGATTGATTGTTGATGACTCCTGTCACATGGATGGCTGCTCAGAATAATGGGTCTCTCTCCCCTCCCCACCCAACTTGATGTCTCACATGATAGCGCAGCAAGGACCATAGCAAGGCTGGAATTTAAAGGTGTGGTGGGTTCCTCGTGTGTTTTGGAGAGGCAAAAAAGAAATAAACAAAGCGGCGCCAAAAAAAAAAATAGTTTCACCCTATATGAGCACTGCGCGCTGTCGGAGGAAATGGGCCGCAAGAGGAGAAAGGTTTGTCGAAGGGAACGGATTCATGCTTTCTAGTTTTTAAACCAAAGAGTACCAAAGGTACAACTGACAATGACAGTCGGCTTTTCGATGATATCACTCCAACCACGGGATGCAGACGGTAGGTAACTAGATACTAGCCTGCAACACCCGGCATGGGTCGTAACTTAACAGCGCCCTGCTGCAACCCAGCCAACCAACATTAGAGAAGGCCGACCTCCTGCTCAGTCGCACCCTTAGCTCGACGATCGCTTTGCTAACGCAAAAACCATGCTTGGGTCTGCCGCAGTATCAGCAAAACATATCCCTTCCGTTGTTGCGCCCATCATGTCCCAACAAAGGATTTTGACATCAAATTGGCTTTCTCCGTCATCCCCCGAGTCCGTCTGTGCTTTGGAACTGCTCAAACTATCTGAACGAGTAGCTCCCGACGCGGGAAGGGTCTTGGGTCTTTGTGAGATGGCGATAATGGTACTGGTACCGGCATAACGCGCCGGGTTCGCCCCCGCTGCTCCTGGCTCTTCTCCCGCTCGATT